CAAAAGATCCTATGAACTTTCCTCACATGTACATCCATTTGAATGTCTCAAGGTATTTCAGAGGAAGTCCTTGGCTCTAGTCATTGGAGGAGCTCACAGAGGAAGATGAGAGTGTCAGGGAGGTCACTGGGCACCTGGAATAGGAAGCATCCACTTCACAATGGACCAGGTAGATGATGAGGGCATGAGTAAAACTCGAGGAACAAAGAAGAACAGATGGATAGTCTATAGGTTCCCAATCACTGGGCATTTATATATTTCTTAGAGTTGGAAACATCTACCTGATAACTTATTGAAAAATCTAATTTATGAAATTGAAAAATATGAGCTATAATGAAATATTCAGTCAAAGAATATATGAAACATGACCACATTTTTCTTACCAGGTTACAATATTTACATGGTCAGAAAACTCAAACAATGAATTTTGGGGTAATCAGTTTCCTTTCGTTTCACCATGTTTATCATACCTCCTAGTTTTTATTCACTCTTTCAGGGTCTTACACTAGTGAGACCATACGTTGCTTACTTCTATCACTTTATTGAAAGGAACAGTTAATGAGTAATTATTTTAATCAATCTTGCATATGTATATTTGTTTTCCTGAGTAACCACTTTGAAGTTATCAATATGTAATACAACAACCATTGTTAATTCCCTGTCACCTTGTCTATAACTCAGTATTGCTTCTACTATTCTTGTGCTACTTTGTAAATGGTTGTCTGTTTCCTAATATGTTTTTGTTCTTTTACTTCTAACATAAAAAAGTAAAAAAAAGAATTTTGGGGTAATCAGCATTATTATCTAATATATTCTGGTCAATAATTAGTGGAAGCCTTGTGCGTGAATGTATGTTTCTGTATCTGTTTTTGTTTAAAATACAGGGCCAGGGTATAGCTCAGTGACACAAGCACCTGCGTGACAAGCGAAAAGTCCTGGTTTTGATTCCTGCTATCCAAAAAAAACAAACAAACAAAAAACCCAAAACAAAAACAAAAATGAAATACATCCCAGAGTTGATATGTGCTGATATATGAAACAGATAGAAATCTCTTATCTTTTATGCCAACAAATTGATACATATTTTCTACAAATTAATAAGAAACCGTGAATCCTTCTTTAGAATTATGATTATAATTTTCAGAAGCAGCTACTAGAATGCTCATATCCAAATCTGAGAATTAGGAGGAGGATAAATATGAAATTTTTTACACATGCTACTCCTGTACATATGTAGAGATCAATTACAATTTAATTTTAAAATCTATCCATTATTTGGAAGTAAATGTAATATTTGATTCCTGAGTATTATTTTACAAGAACTGTAATTTCTTGTCCTTAATTTTTACATTTAATTTGAAGCATTGAATTTATTCTATTTACATTAGATATGCATGGTACTTCTTCCTCATTTATCATGAGAACTAGTTTGCAAGAAAGTGCTATGTTTCTACATTTTGCCAAATCTCCTTGTAAGTCTAAATATACCTCAGGGAATATAACTTATTTATAATGCTGTTGGGTCACTCTCATCTTGTTTCAGATATTACTAAATTGCTATGAAAAATGTATCATTTTCCTTTTGTTCTGACGTTTCTTCCTCGTGTCTTACCAGTTAAGGTCCAGGAAGAGATTGACCGTGTGATTGGCAGGCACCGGAGCCCCTGCATGCAGGACAGGAGCCACATGCCATATACAGATGCTGTGCTGCATGAGGTGCAGAGATACATTGACCTCGTTCCCACCAGCTTGCCCCATGCGGTGACCCGTGACCTTCAATTCAGAAACTATAACATTCCCAAGGTAAGCTTGTTTCTTTTATCTTGCACCTCAGGGTTGACATTCCCAAATTCAACATGAGATTGCAAACCGGTAACAACAGAAACAAGTATAAAACTCCATTTCATTGCTTGGTGGGCTTTCTGTTTTTTCCTGTGGGGCTCTAAATCTTTCTTTTATGTATTTATTTACTTATTTATTTATTTTAAAGAGTAAAGAAAACAAAATAACAACAACCAAGACAAAACCAAAACAACACAAAAACACTTAAAATGACACAGAATTTCAAAACAAGGTGATAAAAAGTTAACCATGATTATTATAGTACATATTGTTATCATCAGTGAAGTTGATCAGATTACCAGATGTAAGAATGCAACGCTGATCAAACAATTACAGAGAATTAAATACAGTGAAAAACATTAGAAACAATTCAGAGTTTCACTAATCAAGATAGTAAGGATTCAACAGTGGTTGTTATATTGCATAGTATTGTCTTCAAATTAGTTGTTCAGATTACCAGATATAAGATGCAAAATTGGTCAGAAGAATAAAAATTTAAGCATTATCTGTTCCTTCAATAAACCAATAGATATCGGCAGTACAAGCATTCCAGCTATTCTTGTATGTCTGTATATTTTCCTTGATTATTTCTTTCTTTTCTCCTTTCCCTCATCCCAGTTTTTCCTTCCCTTTGAGCTATTTCTTTCCCTTTCACAGTATCTAGTGTTACTTTTGAGTTTTACTTACTCTTTCAGGTTCTTACACTAGGGAGACAATATAATGTTTATACATGCAGGCCTGATTTATATGACATGGGCATGGTCTCATTGCATCCATTTTCCTATAAAAGCTTCGAGTTTACAATTTTTTATAGCTGAGTAATACTCCATTATATAAATATATCACATCTCTCTTGTCTAATCGTCAGTTGGTGGGCATTTGTGTGGTTTCCAAGATTTAGCTATGAAAACTGCATTGCTATAAACATGGGTTCACATATATCACTTTGCATAGTATTGTCTTCAGATTAGTATGATCTTTTCTATTCTTCTGGAAAAACATGCAGAAGGGGAATAGCTGGATTGAATGGGACCTCTAATCTTAGTTTTCTGAGGAATCTCCACACTGATTTACATAGTGGTTGCACCAGTCTACACACCCACCAACAGTGGAGAAGGGGAGAGCTTCAGCAATGTTCATTATTGGTTGATTTCTTGATGATAGCCATTCTTTCTGGAGTGAGATGGAATCTCAGTGTTGCTTTAATTTTCTTTTCTCAAATGACGAGCGATGTTGAACATTTTTTCACATATTGAATTGTCATTTGTATTTCTTCTTGTGAGAAGTGTGTATTCATCTCAGATACTCATTTTTTACTGGGTCTTTGAAGTTTGGGGGTCTGATTTTTAAAAATTCTTATATGTTTTAGATAGAAGTCTTTTGTCTGAGGGAGAGTTGGCTAAAATTTTTTCCCATTCATGTGTTTTCCTTTTACTCTGTTGGTGATTTCTTTTGATGTGCAAAACTTCTCAGTAGGATAAGATCCCAGTCATTGATTCTTTGAAGTATTTCTCATGCAGTTTGGTTTTTGTTCATGAACTTTCGGCTTACCCCTACATCTTTAAGATTTCTAACTACTTTGTCCTCTTGTAGATTTAATGTTTCTGTTTTAATATTTAGATCTTTGATCCATTTTGACTTACTTTCATGCGTGGTGATATACATGGGTCTAATTTTAGTCTTTGGCATGTGGAAAGGCAGTTTTTCCACCACCATATACTAAAGAAGCTATCTTTCTTCCAGTGAACATATTTGACCCTTCTTCAAAGATAAAGTGGCTGAGTGTGTTTGTAATTTTGTCTCAATCTTCTAATTTGTTCCATTGATCCTCAGGTCTGCTTTTTTCCAGTACCATGCTGATTTCTTCACAGTAGCTTTGTAATATAATTTCAAGTTTGGGATTGTGATGCCACCTGACTTTCTTTTTACCCAGAATTTCCTTTGCTATTCTAGGCCTCTTCTTGTTCCAGATGAATTTTAGAAATATTTTCTCTAGATCTGTGGAGTACACTAATGGTATTTTAATCAAGATTGTGTTGAATCCTGATAGGGAGTATGGCCATTTTCACAGTGTTGCTTCTTCCTATCCATGAACAAGGAATATCTTTTCATATTCTATAAACTTTTCAATCTCTTTTCTCAGAGTACTGTAATTTTTACTGTATGGATCTTTTATTTCTTTGTTAGAATGATTCCTCAGTATTTCATTTCTTCATGTGTTGTTGTGAAAGGTGTTGTTTCCCTAATTTCTCTCTTTGTGCATTTGTTATTTTTGTATAGGAATACTATTGATTTTTGAGTGTTGACTTTGTGTCCAGCAATGCTGCTATTTGTTTATTAATTCTAGAAGTCATTTGGTGGAGTGTTTGTGTCTTCCATGTAAAGTATCATGTCATCTGTGAATAATGGTAACTTCGCTTCTTCCTTTCCAATCATTATTCCTGTTATTTTTCTTTCTTTTCCTATTGCTCTGGCTAATGTTCCCTGAACTATGTTGAATAGGATTGGTGACAATGGACATCCTTGTCTTGTTCCTGATTTTAAAGTGACAGCTTTCCCTTTTTTTCCATTTCGTATGGTATTGACTGTTGGTTAGTCATAGATGACTTTTATCAGAGTGAGGTAAAGACAATCTATTCTGATTTTGTGTAGGTTTTTTTTTTTAACATGAATGGGTGTTTGACTTTGTCAAAACCTTTTCTGCATCTATTGAGATGATCATACAATTATTATCTTTGGCTCTGTTGATATGGCTCATTACATTCTCTAATTTGTGTATACTGATCCATCCCTCCATTCCTGGGGTGAATTCTACTTGGTTATGTTGTAAATCTTCTTGATGTTTTGCTACAGTGTGTATGCTAGTATTTTATTGAGGATTTTTGCATCTGTGTTGATTAGAGTAATTGGTCTGTAGTTCCCTTTTTTGGTTGGATCTTTCTCTGGTTTTGGTATTAGGGTAATACCTGCCTTTAGGAATATGTTAGTGAAAATTGCTTCCCTTTCAACTTATTAAAGAGTTTGGGAAGAATTGTTGTTCATTCAGCTTTGGTAATTCATACGTATCTAGGCATCTGTCCATTTTTTCTGTGTTTTCCATCCTGTGAGAGTAAAGATTTTTAGTGTAGCTATGGATGATATTCTGAGTTTGTATAGGATTTGTACTGATTTCACCCTTTTCCTTCCTTATTTCCTGAATTTGAGTTTTCTCTTTCCTTTTTTTGATAAAAGTGGCTAAGGGTCTATCAATTTTTTTTATTCTTTCACATAACCACCTCTTCGATTCAGTAATTCTTTGTATTGTTTTGTTAATCTCACTTGCATTAATTTCTGCTTTGATCTATAACTTCCTGCCGCCTTTGGGCTTTGGGCTTGACTTTTTCTTGTTTATCTAGAAGTTTTTTGTTTTTTTTTTTTTTTTACTTTAAAAATAAAAGGAGGAAAACATTAACAGACAGACAACCTTTTACAAAATAGCAAAAGAACACTACAGACAATACAGAGTAACAAACAAAGTGGTAGGAAATTAACAATGCTTGTTATATTACATATTGATGTCTTCGAAGTGGTTTCTCATGAAAACAGATAGAAATATGCAATATTGATCAATCAAGGACTTATTGACACTTTCTTTCAGCAAAGAAGTAGAAGACAGTATGTTAACTATCCTGTACATACATACCTAAAAAAATTTCCTTCCTTCCCTTTCTTTAGAAGTTTAAGTTATAGTATAATGTTGTTTATTTGTGCTCATCCTGTTTTCGTAATGTGAGAACTCACTGCTATAAATTTCCGTCTCATGGCTGCTTTCATTGCATCCCACAGCTTTCAGTCGGTTGTAACTGCTTTTTGTTGGTTTGTAAATATTATTTAATTTCTTCTTTTACTGCATCTGTGATCCATTCCTTGTTCACGTGGGTATTATTTAATTTCCACTCATTTATGAAGCTTTTGTGATTTCTTTTTTCAGTAATTTTCAATTTCATTACAGTATGGTCAGATAATATACATGGTATAACTTCAGTTCCTTGCATTTACTTAAGCATGTTCTATGTGCTTGTATATGGTCTATTTTAGAGAATGATCCACACATAGCTGAGAAGAATCTGTACTCTGATGGTGTTGTTTGGAACAGTTTCTAAAGGTGTACTAAGTCCATTTGTTTACAAGTGTGGTTTAGTTCTGTGATTTCTTTGCTGATTTTTTGCCCAGTTGATCTACTTTTTTGTGACCATGTAATGGTAAAATCCCCAGTTATGACTGTGTTTTTGCTGATTTGATTTTTTATGTCTGGTAATATTTGTCTTATATAGCTGGGTGCTCCCATATATTTATATTGTTTTTCTCTTCCTCTTGCAGTTTTCACCTAACAAGTATGTAATGACCTTCTTTATCTCTTTTGATCATTCTTGGTTTGAAGTTCACATTGTCTGCAAAGAGAATAGCTAACCCTACTTTTTTTCTGGGTTCCTGTCACATGGAGTATTGTTTTCCATCCTTTAAGTTTCAGTGTATAAATTTTCTTTTGAGGTAAATGTATTTCTTGTATACAGCATATTGTTTAATTTTTTTTCTTGATCTACTCTGCCTGTGTGCTTCTTTTGATTGATGAATTGAGACCATTTACACTGATGGTTTAAACTGATATGTATTGGCTCATCTTTAGGATGTTATTTTCCTGCTGCTGGTTTCTTACCTTTTCCCTCTGTTTAATTGTTTGCTCTGCTTGATGATTCCCTTGTAGTGTTTTTCTTGAAGTTGTGGTCATATTTGCCTCTTTCTGGAATAGCTTGTTGTACTCTTTGCAAAGTTGGTTTGGTCATCATGAATTTCTTCATTTGTTCTTTGTTGTGGAAGTACCTTATTTCTCCATTAATTTTGAAAGATAGTTTTG